TTTTCATTTTTTCCATTTCTTCATTTTTCATTTTTTTAATAGTACTTTCGGGTTCCAAAGAGGGTAATCAAGGAAGAGTAACCGACTCAAAGGGTTTGCGAAAGATTGACAATGTTTGGATAACGGAAAGAAAGCCTTCGTCATCTCAACCGCACAAAAGTAATCATCGCAGAAAGCCTAGACATAGTACCTTTTTACTGCATCCGTATTCACAGCTGCTTCAGGATTATTTCCTTCGATATCACCCAGATACAATGCTCCTCTCGGCAATATCATTCTGATGATGTATGGACCCTTCCAATTAGGAGCAAATTTTCCTTTTGCTTCCTGATGATAAGGAAGAATGCGCCTTAACACAAGTTGTCCCACTTCAAAATTCCTGGGCCGCACCTTCTTGTTATAAGCACGGGCCATTCTTTGTTGGTACAACTGCCCGTGACAGACCGCAGCCATCCGCTTTTCATCAATTAAGGCCAACTGTTCTAGACGAGTCTTTACCCACTCAGTGTCCTCAATCTCTGCTTCAACGATGATCCGGAGAGAAGGGATTTCTACCTCTGCGGGTATTACAGCCTCAGTTTCGTAGACCAAAAGGTATGGGGTTGCTCCTGCCGATGTGCCCCAAGTACAAGGCACTCTTTTGGCAGTACTCTTGTTGTAATGTATGGGCCTTTCCAACCCACGAACCAATTTTCCTTCAGTTGTTCCAATTTTTGTTTTATTTCCTCAAACTTACCTTCTTTGCATTTCGACTCTTGATTCATTATTTCGAAGTCTGACAGTGTTTTGGGATCTGGGCATGAAGTCCGTAAGCATGTCATGTTATTTAAAGCCGCATTATTAGAACTGAAAAGAAGAAATGAAAGAGAAAAAATAGCAAAATCAGAAAGAATAAAGAAAAATGAACGATGAAATATTGATTTCATTTCTTGGAATTTGAAGATAACAGGGTTTACATTTGGAAATTTAAAGACAAGAAACTAAAGAAAACATCCGAGTTTCACCCTGGAATAAATCGGGATGCAGAAAAAGTAGCAGGACAGGTCTACCGGGACTCCCGCCTGATTGGAAATGGCATAGCCTTCCAGTTTTGCAGCTTGGCGCTTGGTCCCATATACAACACCTCAGCGGTGCTTGTTCCCTCTCCCGCTGAACCATGTGGGTTTCGTAGAGTATCTTCCTCATCGCCCCACATATTTCCTCAATTTCTTCGGCCGTAAAGGCCTCATCATCTTCCTCTTTATTGTACTTTGGCTTGACAAAGGTTTCGTACAAATGTGGCAGTGGTTGAGGCAAAACCCATCCCTCGTTCTTTCTCTCATCTGCCCACTTTATCATCTGGGGTAGGTAGGAAACCTATCCCGAAGAACATCTCAGTTGTAGGCAGGGTAACTGGTTCAGCTATTCCTTGCAGAGATTTTCCAAGCCCCTTCCCTGGTTTGAAACCATGTCTGATCATTTCTTTGGCCACCATAATCGAGGCATTGGATAGGAAGGGTTGGGGGCAAGGGTTTCCTTCTTCATGCTGGTCCGCCACCACGACTTCAAAAGCTTGATAAACTACGTGCTCACTGCTTTCTCTCGCTTTAAGAATGGGACTGATGGGCCCGATAAATTGATTGTTCATCCTCCCTGTGGACCACGATCTCTTGATCCTCATGCTCGAATTTTACCATTTGATGAAGAGTGGAGGGTACAGCCCCTGCTGCGTGGATCCATGGTCTCCCCAAGAGAAAGTTATAGGATGTGTCCATGTGTAGAACTTGGAAAGTCACCTCAAAGTCCACTGGGCCAATGGTCAGAGTTAGATCGATCACTCCAATCGTGTCCCTTTTGATACCATCGAAAGCTCGCACACAGACATTGTTGGGACGAATCCTTTCAGTCCCGACTTCCATACGCTGCAGTGTAGAGAGTGGGCAAATGTCTACCCCGGAACCTCCGTCTACCATGACTCTCTTCACATAGTATCCCTCACATTTGACAGTTAAGTGCAAGGCTTTGTTGTGAGCGGCCCCTTCTGGAGGCAAGTCGTTTTTGCTGAATGAAATCTGATTGATAGCGAAAAATCTCTCTGCCATTCTTTCTAACTGTTCTACTGAAGTTTCAGCTGGCACGTATGCTTCATTGAGGGTCTTGATTAATACCTTCTGGTGTTCGGGGGATTTCATCAGCAATGATAGCAAGTATACTTGTTCAGGAAACTTCCGAAGTTGATCAACCACTTCATAGTCCGCCATCTTCATCTTCTGAAAGAAAGCTTCCGCTTCTTCGGCACTTACAGGTTTCTTAGATGGGAAACGCTTTCGGGTGGCGTTGTTCACTTCTTCTATGTTGGAGTACTTCTCAACAGGATGATTTTCTTGAAGCTCCCCCGAGATCTCTTTGCCCTTATACGTAACCACTGTTTTATGATAATTCCACGGCACCGCAGCAGGATCTGTCATAGGCTTCTGTGGCGCACGTCCAATAACCACGGGCTCGTTCGCACTTGATGGCTTAATTGTCCCCCGCACCACATAAGCTCCCTTGGGTACGTACATCTGGGCTCCTTTTTTCTGTTCAAATCTCTTTGGAGGACTCAAAGTCAACTGCTTTTCTTTACGGCCTCGTGGGACATAGAGAACACCATTTTTGGGAGGCATTGCCCCCGTTCCTGCTTCAATTTTCTTTTCTGGTTCTGAATGGGTGGCTCTGGTCTTCTTTTCCCCTTTATCTTGCTTTGGGGCAATTTTTCGCTTTCTCTCCGCATCAGCAATGGCAATTATGGCCATTGGTGCCGGATCAAATTCTTTATCTTCACAAATCATTCCAATTACTGGCCCATTGTTATGGGCTGGCAGTGGGTTATTAGTCACGTTGGGGGCATCCTCATCCCTTAGCACTATCTTTCCTTGCTCTATCAAGTTCTCCACTGCTCTTTTCAAGGTCCAACAATCATCTGTATCGTGCCCTTCTGCTCCTGAATGATAGGCACATCTGACATCGGCCCTGTAAGCGGGCGATGCTGGGTTTTGCCTTGTTCGAGGAACTGGTTGTAGCAAACCCATTTGGACAAGCTTTAGAAATAGGTTGGAGTAGGATTCACCGATTGGCGTAAAAGTTTTCCTCCTGGGTGGCTCACGGGGTGGAAAATTGTTCTGTGGAGTACGCGGATTGTAGTGGTTTTGGTGAGGAGGCTGATTTCTTGGAAATGGAGCTTGGTTTCTATTGGCATGTTGCTGCGGTCGTACAAAAGGTTGAGCATTCATGACCGCATACGGTTGAGGAGAATAGGTCATGTCTTGGTGAGGGTAATAATTTTGAGGGGTTCTTTCTGGGAACATGGGTCTAGGAGCACGGTGTCTTCTTGCACCCGATGCCGCCATGGATGTTTCTTCTTTCTTCTTTCCCTTTGCTACTCCTCCAGACCCGCCTTGAATGGCTTGGGAGGTTGCTCTGATTGGCTCAGAATTCTGCCTATTTTCAATCCATTTTCCACCATTTCACCAATTTTAATAGCTTCTGCGAACGGTTTACCCATAGCTGACATCATATTTTGGAAATAATCGGCTTCCTGAGCTTGAAGAAACACCGTGACCATTTCAACCTCGTCCATTGGAGGCTTCACTCTCGATGCTTGCCCACGCCATTTGATTGCATATTCCCGAAAACTCTCAGAGGACTTCTTTTTCAGATTTGCCAACGAGTTCCGGTCTGGAGCAATGTCTATATTGTACTGGAATTGTTTGACAAAGTCTCTAGCGAGGTCGTCCCGGATGTGCCAGCGAGAGATATCCTGATCCATGTACCACTCGGAGGCGATACCCACCAGACTTTCTCCAAAATAGGCCATGAGTAACTCTTCTCTCCCTCCAGCTCCTCGTAACTGATTGCAATATTTCTTGAGATGAGCAATAGGATCACCATGCCCATCGTATTTTTCGAACTTTGGAGTTTTGAACCCCAGAGGCAAGTGCACATGAGGGAACATGCATAGATCAGTATATGACACACTTTTCTGCCCACTCAGACCCTGCATGTTCTTGAGGCTCTGCTCCAGGATCCTCATCCTCTTTGCAATTTCTTCCTGTTCGGGAGTTTTGGGAGTCTTTTCCTGTCCCGTTGTGAACTCGAATGGAGGTGGCTGAGGATAAGTATAAGTGGGGAACTGAGGNTTTTATTCCTCAAACTTACCTTCTTTGCATTTCGACTCTTGATTCATTATTTCGAAGTCTGACAGTGTTTTGGGATCTGGGCATGAAGTCCGTAAGCATGTCATGTTATTTAAAGCCGCATTATTAGAACTGAAAAGAAGAAATGAAAGAGAAAAAATAGCAAAATCAGAAAGAATAAAGAAAAATGAACGATGAAATATTGATTTCATTTCTTGGAATTTGAAGATAACAGGGTTTACATTTGGAAATTTAAAGACAAGAAACTAAAGAAAACATCCGAGTTTCACCCTGGAATAAATCGGGATGCAGAAAAAGTAGCAGGACAGGTCTACCGGGACTCCCGCCTGATTGGAAATGGCATAGCCTTCCAGTTTTGCAGCTTGGCGCTTGGTCCCATATACAACACCTCAGCGGTGCTTGTTCCCTCTCCCGCTGAACCATGTGGGTTTCGTAGAGTATCTTCCTCATCGCCCCACATATTTCCTCAATTTCTTCGGCCGTAAAGGCCTCATCATCTTCCTCTTTATTGTACTTTGGCTTGACAAAGGTTTCGTACAAATGTGGCAGTGGTTGAGGCAAAACCCATCCCTCGTTCTTTCTCTCATCTGCCCACTTTATCATCTGGGGTAGGTAGGAAACCTATCCCGAAGAACATCTCAGTTGTAGGCAGGGTAACTGGTTCAGCTATTCCTTGCAGAGATTTTCCAAGCCCCTTCCCTGGTTTGAAACCATGTCTGATCATTTCTTTGGCCACCATAATCGAGGCATTGGATAGGAAAAGTTGGGGGCAAGGGTTTCCTTCTTCATGCTGGTCCGCCACCACGACTTCAAAAGCTTGATAAACTATATGCTCGCTCCCTTCTCTTGCTTCGGGATGGGGACTGATGGGTCCCGATAAATTGATTGTTCATCCTCCCCATGAACCATGATTTCTTGATCCTCATGCTCAAACTTTACCATTTGATGAAGAGTGGAGGGTACAGCCCCTGCTGCGTGGATCCATGGTCTCCCCAAGAGAAAGTTATAGGATGTGTCCATGTGTAGAACTTGGAAGGTCACCTCAAAGTCCACTGGGCCAATGGTCAGAGTTAGATCGATCTCTCCAATCATGTCCCTTTTGATACCATCGAAAGCTCGCACGCAGACATTATTAGGACAAATCCTTTCAGTCCCAATTTCCATACGCTGCAGTGTAGAGAGTGGGCAAATGTCTACACCAGAACCTCCGTCTACAATGACTCTCTTCACATAATATCCCTCACATTTGACAGTTAGGTGCAAGGCTTTGTTGTGAGCGGCCCCTTCTGGAGGCAAGTCGTTTTTGCTGAATGAAATCTGATTGATAGCGAAAAATCTTTCCGCCATTCTTTCTAGCTGTTCCACCGAAGTTTCAGCTGGCACGTATGCTTCGTTTAGGGTCTTCATTAAAACCTTCTGGTGTTCGGGGGATTTCATCAGCAATGACAGCAAGGATACTTGTTCAGGAAACTTCCGAAGTTGATCAACCACTTCATAGTCCGCCATCTTCATCTTCTGAAAGAAAGCTTCCGCTTCTTCGGCACTTACAGGTTTCTTAGATAGGAAACGCTTTTGGGTGGCGTTGTTCACTTCTTCTATGTTGGAGTACTTCTCAACAGGATGATTTTCCTGAAGCTCCCCCGAGATCTCTTTGCCCTTATACGTAACCACTGTTTTATGATAATTCCACGGCACCGCAACAGGATCTGTCATAGGCTTCTGTGGCGCGCGTCCAATAACCACGGGCTCGTCTAGCCTCGATGGCTTAATTGTCCCCCGCACCACATAAGCTCCCTTAGGTACGTACATCTGGGCTCCTTTTTTCAGTTCAAATCTCTTTGGAGGACTCAAAGTCAACTGCTTTTCTTTACGGCCTCGTGGGACATAGAGAACACCATTTTTGGGAGGCATTGCCCCCGTTCCTGCTTCAACTTTCTTTTCTAGTTTTGACTGGGTGGCTTTGTTCTTCTTTTCCCCTTCGTCTCGTTTTGGGGCAATTTTTGGTTTTCTTTCTCCATCACCAATGGCAATGATAGCTTTTAATGCCGGGTCAAATTCCTTATCCTCACAAATCATCCCGATTATTGGCCCGTTGTTGTGGGCTGGCAGTGGGTTATTGGACACATTGGGCATATCCTCGTCCCTTAGCACTATCTTCCTCTGTTCTATCAAATCCTCCACTGCTCTCTTCACGGTCCAGCAACCGTCCGTGTCGTGCCCTTCCGCCCCTGAGTGATAGGCACATCTGGCACCAGCTCTGTAAGCGGGTGATGCCGGGTTTTGCCTTGTTTGAGGAACTAGCTGTAGCAGACCCATTTGGACAAGCTTTAGAAACAGACTGGATTAGGATTCACCGATTGGTGTAAAAGTTTGCCTCCTGGGTGGCTCACGAGGGGGAAAGTTATTCTGTGGAGGACGGGGATTGTAGTGGTTTTGGTGAGGAGGCTGGTTTCTTGGAAATGGAGCTTGGTTTCTGTTGGCTTGTTGCTGAGTCCGGACAAAAGGTTGAGCATTCATGACCGCGTACGGCGGAGGAGCATAGGCCATGTCCTGGTGGGGGTATTAATGTTGAGGGGTTCTTTCTGGGAACATGGATCTAGGAGCACGGTGTCTTCTTGTACCCAATGCCGCCATGGATGTTTCTTCATTCTTCTTACCCTTTGCCACTCCTCCAGACCCGCCTTGAATGGCTTGGGAGGTTGCTCTAATAGCGGATTGGCTCAGAATTCTGCCTGTTTTCAATCCATTTTCCACCATTTCACCGATTTTGATAGCTTCCGTGAATGGTTTACCCATAGCTGACATCATATTTTGGAAATAATCAGCTTCCTGAGCTTGAAGGAACATTGTGACCATTTCGACCTCGTCCATCAGAGGCTTTACTCTAGATGCTTGCTCACGCCATTTGATTGCGTACTCCCGGAAGCTCTCCGAAGATTTCTTTTTCAAGATTGCCAACGAGTTTCTGTTTGGAGCAATGTCTATATTGTACTGGAATTGTCTGACAAAGTCTCTAGCGAGGTCGTCCCAGATGTGCCAGCGAGAGATATCCTGATCCATGTACCACTCGGAGGCGATACCCACCAGACTTTCTCCAAAATAGGCCATGAGTAACTCTTCTCTCCCTCCAGCTCCTCGCAACTGATTGCAGTATTTCTTGAGATGAGAAATAGGATCACCGTGCCCATCGTATTTTTCGAACTTCGGAGTTTTGAATCCCATAGGCAAATGCACATGAGGGAAAATGCATAGATCAATATATGACACTCTTCTGCCCACTCAAACCCTGCATGTTTTTGAGGCTCTGCTCTAGGCTTCTCATCCTCTTTGTGATTTCTTCCTGTTCAGGGGTTTTGGGAGTCCTTTCCTGTCCCGTGGTGAACTCAAATGGAGGTGGCTGAGGATAAGTATGAGTTGGGAACTGAGGAGGCTCCATTTGGTAGGTAGGTGTTTGGAATGTGAAGGCTAAAGGATCAAAGGTGGGCCTGGGCAATGCGGGTTGTGTTGTGGCCGGGCATGGGGGAGCGGTGAAGATATTGGAAGCCGCTCCGGACATGAACACCTGGGGGCGAACCTCTAAAGGTGTCCCTACGAAATGAGCCGATATGGTGGGCTGTCCCAGTAGGGTATTAGGATGACTGATGGGAATATTGGAGGTACCCCCTGATCTAGGGAACAGTTCAGGGAATCCGGGGATGGCACTTGGAGGTTCCCTTCCATTCGTCCACGCATCCCACATCTCCATGACCCTAAGACGTAAGATCCTGTTCTCTTCAGTCGCTGCAGATTCCGAGGCCGGGATGCCCGAGATTGGGCCATCTTCTGGGATGGGAATGGCTGGCAAGGTCATTTCCGAAGACATTTCTATGCTCCCCTTTGAACTAATAAAGTACGGATGTGATGCCAGTTTACCACGAAAAACCAACCACCGTTTCTATAAAACCTGGACTGGATGTGACAGCAGCAAACGGTTAGTTTGAGACAAATAACAGATAGGTAATCGCATGTTGGGGCGTGATGCACCTATACAGTTAAATGGGTTTCTATATGTTTTGCAACGGTTGCATGCGTCATCCCGGCTTTTCCTTATTCTTTCCCATTTTCTTCCTTTGATTTCCACTCTCTTTTCCCTGCTTTTCTTTCCTTTTGCCCTTTTCTCTCATTTTTTCTCATTTTTCTTTTCTCTCTCTCTTTTCTTTCTTTTATTCTTGCATTTGCTTTTTGCCATGGTTTCTTTCTCTTGGTTTTCTTATTTTCTCTCCCTTTTGTTTCTTTTCCTCTCTTGTTTTTTCTTTTATTTTCTTTCCTCCCCTTTTTTCTTTTCTCTTAGGGATACGGTCGAATCTTATGGAGATTGCCTACGTATCATGACCCCGCATGAATCAGACCAAGCGTAGTTCTTGAAAAATAAATGCGAAAAGTAAAGCAATAATTTTTGGGAATTTTAAATTTTCATTAATAAAACTTCTATTACAAAGATGATAAACTATTTGTTTTCTTGGAAAGGAGAAACTACGAAACAGACTCAAAATAACCAAAATACAGACTCAATGACTAAAAACAAGATCAAGAATACATTAAAGCTTCAACCACTGGGGCCCGCGGGGCATCATTCGGCATTGCCGCGGGCCTATGTGAAAGACACCCTTGCAGTCGCTCCAGATCACTCATAACTTGACGGACAAAAATCATCACTGCGGCAAAGAAGGTGGTACGAGTCATGTCCTCGCACGCTTGGCATTTCATGGCAATATAGTCAGCAATGGCCCTAATCCTTTCTCTAATCCTGCCCTTTTCCTGGAGTAGTCGACCTATTTGTTGGTTTCGGGCTTCTAACACTTGGGAGTCATGAAAGTGGTGATCCTGTAATAGCTGTATTTCTCTCTCCATCTTGGCCATCAGCTTATAGCAATGCTCCCTATCAGCTTTGAAATCTTTGGCCCGCTGGGCTGCCTCATCCTTAAGGGTAGTCACTTTTCTTCGTAGCCTAGTGATGGTCCCTTCATAGTTTCTCTTCATTTGTTGCACAAATTGTGCCCGTTCTTCTACTTTCTTTGCCTATTGCGCTCGGATTTTTGCTATACTGTTTTCAGACTTTTCCAGGTCTTCTTGGCACTCGAGGATTTTCTTTTTTAGTCCGCTTATAAGTCTTTCATCAGCCCGACTTCTTTCTGAGTTGCCGGAAGCTAATTTCATTTTTCGAATCTGAGCCTTAAGAGCTTCATTTTCCTGGGTCAGTTTTTTCTTTTCTCCCTCATCAGCTGCGGCCTGCAAACTATTTTCGAACTGAAGGTCCCGGACCTGCTGTTCCAACTCTCCTATCCTGGCTCTGTATTCATTCTCCTTGGCTAACCAGGTCCACTGTTCTTGTGATGACTCAACAAAATCCTTGAGGTGAGGTCTTTTGGCCGGCCTCCCAAATGTGACTTCCCTTCTATACCAAGCATGATACCCAGGTGAAACTTCTCCTTTGGATCGATCCCGTACACTGGTATTTGCTGCCAAGTATTGACAATTCACTCTAGATCTGGCGGACTGTTGCTTCAGGAAACTGGCCATCAGGACCAATCTCAACTACTTGGTATTAATATCTTCATCTTTTGGCACTATTTGGCATCTTCCGAGTTGTCTTAAAACCCGATACGGAGCATATGGCTGAATGCTCTTAAGACCCATCAAGAGGAAGTGAGGCTCAGTTGCTGGCATATATATGATCTCATCCATAGGTAACTATCCAAACGTGCACTCTATTTGACTGGCAGTGATAGACCAAAGTATGATGTCCATTCTGTGACCCCTTCAGGCAAGCTGATCCCATCAATCCTCGTATAAAATTCCTCTATGCAGGTTTTCTCCGTTGACCCATAACTCATGAATTGAGGACGATGGCATAGGTGTTCGATCATCCACATTTGCAACAACAAATTACACCCCTCAAAAAAGTTTCCTCCGGCTTTGCAAGCTGTGAGAGCACGGAAGATTTCAGCTACTATCATGGGCGCGAGGGTGCTTTTGGCCTGGGTGAGTAAAGTGCTGACGACCCCCACTATTTTTATGTCAATATTTCCATCCTTCCTCGGGAACACCAGAAGCCCCAAGAAAACTACCATAAAAGCAAAACGTCTATGTTCTTCCAATTTGTGGCTGTTTCCTTTGCTGCATATTTTGTTTTCTGGATTGTTGAACCCTCCTATGTGGCCATATCTTTGGTATAGAAATTGTGGAGTACAAAAGCTAGCTGCCAAATCCGGGTTATGGACCCCCCTGCTTATCTTCAGTGAGTCTAAGAATCTGTGCACAGCTACGATTCTCGGGGCAACCAAGTACTTGTGTCTTAAAGGAAGCTCAGCATTCCCAATGTACCCGGCTATTTCTTCTAAGGTCGGGGTGAGTTCAAAATCTAAAAAATGGAACACATTGTGCGCCGGGTCCCAGCATGTGACCAATGCCCTTATGATGTCTCCCCGAGGCCTAATCTCCAACAAACCAGTAAGACCTTTCAAATATTTCTTGACCTCGTGTTGCCCTTCTTCGCCTAGATCATTCCACCACAGACGCAACTCCAAAGGGATTTTTTTCATGATTGAGAAAGGTTCATTTTGAATTGTGCTCATCCTGCACATTTATTAAGGTGATTTAATAACTTATTTTAACCTAAAAGGAAAAAATGACACCACTCTCTTTTTTTTTAACAAAAAGAAAAATTCAAAACTAAAAGAAAAATCCGGTTTTGCAGATACGGCCTTTTAGCACTTCGGGGAAGAAGATTTTAAGGCTGTGCCCGCTAACCGTTGAAAATGACCCAAGGTGGCTGTTCTTGCAAAAACAGCCTTCCGGCGCCCTTTTGGGGACATTCGGCTTATTTTTAAACAAGAATGGCATCACCTGACTTATTTGTGACAAAACTCAAAAAAATTTGGTGTTTTTGGGCTATTTTTGCAAAAGGGAAGTTGGACCCGATGGGGGTTGCCTACGTATCCCACATCCGGTGAGAATCAAACTGGCGTAGTTCGGGCAGATTTAACAAAACCAACTATTTTTGAAAAAAAATTTCTCTTTGTTTTTGTTGATTTTCTCAAAAATTCGGCAGAGTTTCAGTACCATTTGGGCATTGGGTTTTTCAAAACAGGTGACTAACTCACTCGACCCTAACACTATTATTCTTTTCTTTTTCTCCCTTTTTCCAATTTTCTCCCATTATTTTACAAGCCGGTCGACATGCAGATCCGAAGCAAATAAGTGCACAAATAGCAAGTAGGATGCATCAGGATGGTCTTTTCATTTCAGGTCACCTGTCCTAGACGGACCCAACCCCT